ATTACGGCAGGATCACAGGCAGCTCAGATCTGTATTTCCAAGCAATACAATCGCTCACTTACTTTATTAATCCATTACTACCCGTTTAATGAAATATTTAGTTTCACTTGTATATTCTCCATCAGTTTTCAAAGAAATGTGCTGTGAAGGCTAAGAACACTAAAATATTATTGCAACAATTCCATGAAAGGATTTTGCCCTTTCACTTTTCAAACAGAGAAGCACATAAAAGGTGATTTTACCAACACTAACTTAGTAATTTCCAGTCCTCCACAAGACCTGTTTGCTTATCAGGTAAAAGCTGAGATTGCATTTTTAATTAAAAATCACAACAAAGGCTCTTAAAACACTTTTAAATAATACTACTTTAGAAGATCCATTCTTGTAATCATATCAAAATAAATTGCAGATTTATATCATGATATCCAGAATTAATTAGTGAACCTGTCCTCCAGGTGTAATTGCTAATTGTTCAGTTCACAATGATTAATCTGCATCAAACGAAGACCCTTTACAGAGCTTATAATGCCTACTGGTAAAAGGAATCTCTTCTCTCTCTCCAAAATCTGTGGTATAGTAGAAGCTTCAGGTCTTGAAATTCCCTATTGCACACATAGATATAACCCGAGAAACAGACCACCAGTGGTACTCTAGATACTTAAAAGTGCCCTGTGGGGTAACAACTGAGGATGCCACTACGTGTGTGATCATTTGGAACTGGTGGGGGGTTAAGGAAGGTATTAAGCAGAATACCAGCCTCTAAAACCATGAAACAGGAACTAACATCCGAGGAACTCTTGGGAATGAACAGATGAGAAGAGGCAGCTGTATGCTGGGGGCAATGGTGCTGTATCACCTTGCTGGGGTTTTCAGTGAGCAGCCAGCAGCTCCCTGTTCACAACCATGCCTGCTGTGGTTATTTGGAGAGGAAGGAGGTAATGCACTCAGGTTGATCTGAATAGGAGGGGTACTATAAGGAAGGGTGGGATGGGAAGGTATCTGGTTCACTACTTTATTTGGTTAAAGACTATTCAGTAGTCTTTAAACAAAAGGAACAACAAAATAAACAAAAATAAATAAATAAACAAAATAACCAAAATAGAAATATAATAATATAAACATAATCATATACAATATATAAACAAAAATAAATAAAACAAAATAAACAACAAAACCCAAGGAAAGTGATAGATTACACACAAAGAAACATTAGTGAGCATGACACACAAATAAACATCAATGAGCAGGTGATAACAGGGACAATAAGTTGCCTTTGGTCACTACAGGAACTAATGCCATTAGAGGAACTACACACAGCCTTGAACAGACTCAACATGAATTTTGTCATTGATAAGGGGAAAGGTGTGATTATCATATGTATAATGGTATTTCTGAGGGTGTTTGTGGATGGGATATCAAAAGGCATTTATGAGATTTTGTATAATTTATGGGAAATTTAGAGGAGGGGGCAAAAGCAGAGAAAGGGAAGGATGAGAGGAACAAACATCAGACAAAGGAGGTAGGGAGTGGGGGGAAGAAAAACAGGCAAGTTGCATTTAAACAGACTGCTGGTGGGTATGCTTCTCTGATCACATCCTGCACTTGGATCACATCTTTTCCTTCTTACTAAATCCTTTTCTTAACTACTTTTTTTGTGTAATTCACTCTCTGTCCTATGTGTGATACTGCTGCAAGGTCTAAGTGCCAGCAACTGCAGAAGATACTGCAACTCTCAAGGTCTGCAGGTCCAGGAACTAGCAACTGGAGGAATCATGCATAGTGTATCTATGTTTTCCTGGTGAACTTAACACTGTACGCATATGTGAACACATGTAATTTGCTAGCAAGGTACAAACTGGAGTAGCCAGTGAGTAGAAGGAGACCTGTATCAATAAAGACACGAGGTCTGAGTCAGAGGATAGGCAAGGGGCCTGGGGTCCAGCCATGGACTGAGTTGATGCCCAGCAAGGAAGTCCAGCTACTGAACTAGGAGATTCTGTTAGTATTTGAGGCATATATGACTGTGGGATATGTGAGACAAGCTCTCATAGCATCCTTAACACAACTTCAGAGTTGAGCAAAAGAAGTGGTGGTTATGCTATAAAGAACAAAACAATTCTCACTAAAGTATCCTCTAGGTAGCAATGAAAAAAGGTAGACATGTATGAGACCTATCAAACTTTAGTTTTCCACACTAAATGAAATATTCTTAAAAATGGGACACAAGACATGGCAGGAATAAGAAAAACATGCTGTGCTCTGGCATGGTACACCTCAGCAGCATGCATTCAAAAGCACATAAAGACCTTGAGTAGGAAACTAACTGTCAGACTGACGATGAAACAATGAAAGACACACTTCTAGAAAAAAAATAATTTTAAAATCCATTGGCAGATGCTGTAGGAAGTGTTGATATGTAGCATAATTAATATAGTCTGAACAAATTGTACTGTGGACAGTGGTATTTTTATTAAAAGCCACTTGGTTAAGGTTGCTGGAGGGAACTAACTAGAAAGCAACACAATCCTGGATTAGAATATAAAAGTACAGGCTTTCCTGTAAATAGGTAACAGCACGATAGGAAAAAATATGTTATTTAATTTTCCTATATGCTGCCTCCATCCTTTCAGGTGTACCTGGAAGTACAAGATGTTGCCAGAAGGAACAGCTTTGTAGAACTGAAACCTCTGAACGAATAAGGATTCTGTTCAGAGCAGGGAAATGATCCACATTATGGGTGAGGTACTTCTTTGCCCACGGATAATGTGATTTATACCCTGAGATCTGTTGACCTGAAGAGGCTGTGCTGCAAATCAATAATTTTGAAAAGGATATTTCAGCTATAGGGTAGTCTTGTCTTTGTCCAAGGGAAGACTGTTTATGCTGAAGTCTGTCATGTTAACCATGCTGTCTGTCATGGTTAACATGGTTAACATGACAGACAGCAGTTACAAGGCTGGGGCAGAATTTTATGACTCCCAGCCAACATGTTGGCAGATCTGTCTTATGGAGACAGGGAGAGACTGGATTTAAATGGAAGTTTATAGGCTGACGTGAAAGTTAATTTAGCCTGGCACCTATTATTTTGATTTTCAATAGTGACTTTCAGGCCTTTCATTACCTAGAGACTCCAAACAATCTGTCATGGGATGCAAAGTGAGATGGGGAGCAAAACCACTGAAAGTTCACTAATCCTTTCAATGAGTGTTAGTGCTCAGTAACAGGAAAACAGCATAGGTGTACGAATTCCCATGGAACAAACTTTTTTTTTTGGACTGGTACCAGTATCTTTACAAGAGTTATCTGGAAAAACCTCAGGGTAACCTCATCATCTCTAGTAGTCCACAGACTTATACACGGTTTCACACAGAAGACTTGCACAGACAAAACCTCATGTCCTTTTCAACAGTTAAAACAGCATAGCTTTGCCTCGGGGTGCAATTACACCACTCTGAAAGGACTGTAGAAGGGTCTGGCTTTTCATGTATGAGAGGACCATGCCAACACACTGTAACACAGATATAAAGTAAGAATACTACTTTAACTATCAGCATAAAGAAAGAGATATTACTTTCACATACAGAAGAAGGGTAGATACTAGAGAAACAACACAAATGTAACTTAAGAGATCACTCACTATCAAATTCTGACAACTAGAAGAGTCAAGCATGGAATAAATACACATTAACTCAAGATTTGAAACTGCCTGCTTGCACACCACTTCTTTTTGTTGTGTTCTTCACACTATTAGTGACTTAAAAATGCAACATAACTTGACAGTAGGGGTTAAAAGCCAAACTGAACTGAAAAAAAAAATCAAGCCATTTTCTTCTCTTACATGTAAAAAAATTAAACTCTGTTTTTTTCATTCAGATCAAACTGAATCATCCCATCAGATCTTTATCTACCACTTCAGAGTCATGTTTGATTGGAGAACACTTTTTAAAAATCAGACATACTCATCTGAGAGACAACTTGTACCTGCTAAGGCCTGCAGAGCAAGCATCCTATCACTGGAGTTTTCCCCCTTTCTTCTGTCTGTGCCTTCCCACAGAACTAGAAGATGTAACCCAAGCTCTTGCGCCTGCCTTGTAACACCCAGGTTTCTCTCACAAGGACCAGTTCAGCCTGAGGATTTGTTGCAGTTTATGTATGGTGAGCTCTAGCTAAGCTGCTTCTAGAAGGCCACAGACATACAGGCTTCTCAACTGGGATGCAAACCCTGCTGTTCTTGCTGCTTACGATACCTAGCTTATTCCTGCAGCCATCCCCCACAGTCCATTTGTGCTCCTCGCTGTGCACCACCTGCTTTGCTTTATCTCTGTGTATGTTTGTGCTGACAAACGGATTTATGTGAGAAGTCAAAAAGCCCCACAGAGCATCAGCTCCACGTCCCACAGTCCTGGCACGCTGCCGGCACCAACTCCCTCTCCAGCTCGACTCGCTGTTGGAAACTCTCCCTGTCCTCACACCTCCGCGTGCCAAACGCGGGGCTGTGCTACGGGAAGGACCGGCACCCGCAGGACCAGAAGGAAGAGTCAGGTCCCTGTGTCCAGCGGGACGCGGATACGGGGCTGTTCGCGGCGCATCCCGGAATGCCGCTCCGACGGGCGACCAGGCGAGCCCGCACCGCGCCGGGCCCGGGCGCTCCCGGCTGCCGCACACGTGTCCGCCGCTCCCCATCCCCGGGCCCTGCGGCGCCAGCCCCCTCCCACCGTCCGAGCCAGCACCGCGGAGCGGTGCGGGGAGCGGAGCGGGCCACCCTACGCCTCTCGCAGCGCACTCACCTCCCCGCGCCAGCCCCGCATCCCCGCGGGACGCTGCCATTCGGCCGCCACACCGCCCCGCCCGTCCCAGCATAAGGCGGCCCCGGGAGCAAAGCTGAGCCGCGCCCCGCCCCGCTCCGCCCCGCCGGGGACCGCGGGGCCAGACGGGGCTCGTAGTCTCTCCGCCGGCCGCGGGCGGCGAGGGGCGCGGCCGTGCCGAGGCACTACGTTCCCCGGCGTGCAGCGGGACGGGGAATATAAGTGGCTGGCGGCGAGCGCGCTTCAGTCAGTCCGCCCGCCCGAACAATGCCTTCGCCGCTGGGGCCGGGGAGCCGCGGCTGAGCGCGGCGGGAGCAGCCGGGCAGCGGACGCCCTTGCCGGCCACCGCCGCTCCCAGCGAAGGGGCTGGCGGGGGCACGGGCGCTCGTACGCCGTGAGCATGTGGATACCCACGGAGCACGAGAAGTACGGCGTGGGTGAGTGAGAGAGAGGGCGAGCGGGGCAGCGCGGGGGCGAGGAGCGGCGCTGCCGGCGGGGAGCGCATCCCGGGCAGAGCGGGCTCGCCCCGCGGGGGCTGCCGCCGTCTCCCGCGGGGGCGCGGGCAGCGCCCCGCGCCTGTGAGTGGCTGCGATGCGGGTCGGAGGTCCTGTCGCTGGGCGGGGGCAGCGGCCCCTTCTCCGGGGGCGCAACAAAGGGCGGCCAATGCCCGAGTCGCGGCTCCGGCGTCTCCCACCGCTGCCAGGGGATGGGGCAGGGGCCGGTTCCTCGTCTCCGAGGCGGGCGCTCGGCTGTCCCCGCCGGTGCTGGGTGGAAAGGCTGGTGTTCCACGGAAAACAAAGCAACCTTAAAACATATCGCTGGGAGCGGCGACCCGGCTGGAGACGGTGTCCGGCGGCGGCCCGGGGAGGAGCAGGAGCGGAGCCACGGGCATTGTTCGCTCGTCGAGGGTTTTGTCGCTGCTTCAGTGGAAACCAGACAAAGTGTCGCTAATGGGAGTCGCGCTTCTTCGCCTGGTTGTTCCCCTCCTCTCGGTTCAGGGCTCTGAAGCCCGCGGTTTTGAGTTGGGAAGTGATCGGAGAGACTCGCGGTGATTTTATTTTTCTTGGCACCGCCTATTAAAGCCGGCAACACCCGGTGAGCGCTGGCGACTCGTCCCGGACAATAGCCCCCTCTGACACGGGTGTAGCTGAACTGCTGTACAGACCTGCCAGCCTAGTAGGCAGCTCTCTGTGTGTTTACGTCGCTTTTGAACGCGGAGTTGTTCATATTGGAGAAAAGCGGGAGGAGCGCGGAGCCCTCCTTTGTGTGTGTGTGTAGCAGCGCTATGTCCAGCCTTCAGCGCGGGGCCGCTTCGTCCCATCTGGAGCTGAGCCCAGATGTTGCTGTCCTCCGAATGCTAAATTATAGGGATCATCGATGTATGATGATCCTTATTTTCTTGACTTCTTTATTTGCCAGGTCATAGATGGGTTGCAAGATATTGGTTACTCCTGCCATCCTCCTTTCTTTACGAGGATGGGTGAGAGGCTTAAAAATGACTCCGGGACTCCCTGAGAATGGCATGCTGGATATTAAACAGTCAAGTATTTCAAGCTGCAGCCCTCCTCTCCATCTATGTGTTGTTCATTTTTATTTTTGAGCATAGAATGCTATTTCACAAATGAAGCATTTTCCACCTTGATTTATGAGCTAAAAATCACCATGGAGCATCTTTCCTAATACTGAAAACAAACAGCCAAAAACTGTTCCCCCTCTTTGAATAACTACTCCCTCCTTGCTAAACAATTAAGTGATGTCTCTTAAGGAAGCTTTTCTATGTTTAGTAACCCTTTTCAGGTAATTCCAGGTGAATCACTCTCCAGCTCTGCCTGATCTTACCAGGGCCCGTGTCATTGAAATCTTGCTCCTGATAAAGAGATACAGTTGCAATTTCTCAATAGTGAGCTTCCTAGGATCAACCAGAAAATGGAGTCCACTACAAAGATCCTCTTTATTTGTGTAAATATAATATAGTCACAAAAAACATGCTTATTCTTATTTAAATTCATTCCATGGTCTTCTGTGATTTGGCTTCCAAAGGCTATTCAAGATAGTAACAAAAAGCCTCTATTCAGTTTGGGTCCTCTGCACTCCTAGGATGGGAGTGATATTTTAGTTCCTATGGTCCTTGCAAAATATTGAAACACGAACTTCAAGTAATTCGATTTTTTTCTTGGACAGCTTTTTATGCTGTGTGCTCACTCACCTGCATGATGAGTGCTGTCTGCAAAATCTTCACACCCTATTACCCTATAAGCTATGGTACTCTATAGCAGTGGTAGGGGATGTAGGAGAAAGGGTTGTATCTTGCTGTATAACTACCTAAACTTTACGTAAACCGAATCTTATAAATCAAACTTACATTTTGCACCACAGACCAGCTCATGTATATTCTTTTTTACTGAGGGGATTATTATGTTTCTAAACAGCTATTTTAATACTGATGTGTTTATGTGCTCTTGTAAAAATGGTTGTGTTAGAAAACCCCTTCGAGAATCCCGATTAGTTGTACCTAGCATATGTATCCTTTGTATAAAGAGCTCAGGGCTTGCATTAACATCAGACCTCATCTGAATTTTTAGTCTGAATTTTGCAGCACATACTGTGTGCCACACATTTCTACTGTGAGATGCCAAAATGAATGAATAACCAGTCAACAGCCACCTGGTTATACTGAAGGGTTACTGGTAACCAGGTGTCTGTTGCTGACTTGGAATCAGTCAGTCTGTGCCACTTTGAGGGGTAGGTAATGGGTTGCAATCTTCTCTTCTTCAAATTTTTAAACTCTGCCTGCTAGTCACTGGTGAAGTTTAATTGATTTTTACTGAACAAGTTGCTTAACTGTGAGGTCATTTACTAGTAGGCAGACATACTGCTAGTTCATTTCATGGTAGACATTCATGCTGCTATAAGGAGAACATTATTGCACTTACATGTGACACCTTTACTACAGTTGTGTAGTATGTGTTATGTAGTACAGTTAGGTGTTTTTGTTTCTAAGGCTATAGCTTTTGTCAGTTATGTTGTATTATCCCTCAGGATGCTAAAGGTGAAGTAAGCATTGGAATATTTCTGGTTCTGAGAAAGTTTGCTTTGTCTGTATTTTGATATTTGTATTTTAAGATCAGAAGGTTAAGCTTAAATATTTCACTTTGGAATTCCACATGTTTTGAATCATACCTTCAGCTGTTGCGTCAAACTAGTGGTGGCATTGTGTAAAGGATCCAATAGTCAGTTATGTGGAGTGTTTAGCATGTAGTATGCTGATGAAAGGGCAGGAGAACTAAGATTATTTTTTGCTGTTAATGGTATTTAAATCTGGTAGATGTCAAATGGAGTTGACTTACAAAAATGCTGTATACTGATCTATGTGATTAAGAACCTAAGACAATCACAGATTCATTTAGGTTGGAATAGGCCTCCAAGATCGTAGAGTCCAACCTTTGACCAATATTATTTAGAACAATAACCAAACTCATTGTTAAAATGAGTCATTTAAGACTGCATAGCTTTGGATGCTCTACAGGCAGCAAAATGATAAGTTTAGCTTTCAGAAGTGTCTATTACTGGTTGGTGCAACGTGGAAACTTTTAGTTGTAATAAATAAATAAATCACAGGACTACATAATTATCTTGTAGCTGGTATTTGGAGTAAAGTTCTGTTTTGACTCTCTCAATTCAGGCAATCTTTTTTTTTCTTTTTGACTCACCGAATCTTCATACTACCATATAATCTGATTTCTTTGACTTACCTGAATCTGTACTGATACAGTTATGTTTTCTGGAATGTGGGTGATTCACCCTATTTTGCTGAGCAGAAAGCATTTCTCTGGAAGGCATTTTTTAGATTAGGGTGCAAAGATTAATTAAGGAGATGAATTAAAAAGCAGTTGCTGAATGCATCATCTAATTGATAAGCAGAATAGTATTCCAGATGCTGAAGTCATTCTGTACAACGAAATACACTGGTTTAACTCAGACAAGTTTAAATAGTGATTGATATTTTTAGTATGGTTAACACACATAAATGTGCCTAAGGGGAGCATGAATTTTGACCATCTCCTAGTTTATAGATGGAGAAATGTAAGGATCAAGTGAATTTGTGCTGGAAGCTGAGGTTTATAGAAAGAAAAAGATGGGGGTGTATTAGTTGATCATAGTATTGACTTGCACACAGACAAAAGCCGAATCAGTGTGTGGGGGGGTTGTGTCCTGTTGTGAGTTGCAGCCAAACTAGTCTTTCTAGCAGTCCTGTTGAAAGATAACTAACACTTCCTTATCTTCATGCTGCAATACTTTTTTTCATTGCAAACTAACTTTACTGTAAATGAACTCTGTTTGTTTAGCTCAACAGTATCTCTCTGTCAATAACATGCTAGACTTCTAATATAATGTGTTTTGTTTAACACAAACACTTCATCCGCCTTTCTTGTGTGCCTCTCCAAACAGTAAAAGTGAAGCCTTCAATCAAGCCTTATTTCCTCCATTCTCCTACATTAATCTTGCTGCACATTTCAATGTGGAATTCACTTTGTATTTTTGTCTTAGACTAAATGTCACTACTAATGAGCTATACCAGAACTTCTGTTAAGCTACCTAAGTAACTGTTTAGAGGTGAGACAAGACAAAACATAAGGAATTTGTGGGTTCATCTGGATAAGGGACAGTTGGAGGGTAACTTTTGCTTTCTATTTATAGCTTGTAACTGTTTGTGAGGCTGGTCACCTGCAAGCAGGTGAAGGTGAAATACCGTGGGGTACAAGAGTGAGGTTAGCAGTATACCAATGCTCCCTTTGCCTCACTGGGGCAATGGGAGCCCATTCTCATTTTATGAAATACTCCTTGAGTTTTAGCTATCTGAGGTAGCAAAGACCCACACACTTTCTATAGGAGTATTTTTGACATATGATGTGTTTGTCATGGAGGCTTTTATATCATTTAGGATGTCATTCAATTAAAGATTATATTCTTCTAGTCTTTTACATAAGCAGTAACTTTCAATATCTTTCAAAAAATGGAATTATCTCAACTCACACCTTTTGGACAAAAAAATCACTGACTATATTCTGTTGGAGAGCAGAATATTAAGTTTGAGATTTTTAAGTAATTTTTTGTCGTAAGACTAGTCTTAAGCTAAACAAGTGTTGTTAAAACTGGAAATTTTTCTTAAAATAAGACTAAATCAAGATTTTAAAGTTGTTTTTAAACAACTGCCTCCAAAAATCTGAAGTTTTCAGTACAGATATGTGGTGTTTTGAGTCTTCATCTCCTAAGGACAACTCAGAGCTGCCTGGCTCATTAACACCTTATACAATGCCCTTCAGAGATCTCATTTTCCCTATTCACTACCCACCTGAGGAAGACTTCTGAAAGCTGATGTTATTTCATGGTTATCAGTATACTGATGACACTGTTTTTCTTCCTCTTGCACTGCACT